AAAATAATATTAATAATTTATAAATCATTTTAAACAATAAATTACTTTTAAATTAAACTAAAATAAATTATATAAGTAATAAATTATTTATTGAATTTAAGCATGATAAGAAAAAGGAGAATTTTGCCGTCTCCCCCCTGATTAGATTAGCCACCGAAGCTCCATTAAAGGTGGAAGCTTCGCGATGTGCTGTGCTGGCGTGAAGAGATTGAGGAAGCGTTTGGTTTGGTTTGGCGCCAGCAGCGAACGTCTCAGCCGTCAGGTGTTGGTACGGATTGAAATCCGACCAGAATCCGGCATGAAATCGGGTAATTTTGTACGGGTATTTGGAAACTCGGGTTGAATTGTAACCGGGTAATGCGAAATTCGGAGAAACGAGCCAGGCAAACAGCCCTTAGGTATTGCATCCCTATAAAATGTTGTTTAAGGGCAACGGAGGAGTTTTTTTCCCTGGAAGAGTGCGACGGACGATCAAAAGATGATGTATCCGAAAGCTGATTCAATATCGAGTTTTTCTTCATTCCAAGTACCTTAATCTCTCTCGGTTTTCGATGTTATTCTGTTCTTTAAATTGTACCTAAGTCACATTTTTGTTTTTTTGTTTTTTTTTTTTTTTTTTGCAGGTGAGATGTTGGGAGAACATGCAAACTGGAGGAAATGTTGCCAGTATGCCTAAGGCATTAATCTCACATGACCAGCTGGTAAAAGCTAACTTTGCTACTTCCATTTGCTCACAAACTTATATTCAAGGATATGATTCCATAAGTTTATGCAAGAAATTTTGACTTCCTAATTGCGTGAAAATTCTCTCTGTTTTGCATTTGATCCTTAATGCATGTGGGTTTGAATGTTTGATAGCCTTATAAATATTTATGTCATCAGATATCCTTTGACGGATGGTATTGTTCATGCATTACTATCAGCCGTCAGGAGATGGTAGTATTGATGAAACTTAGCATGGTTCGTAAACTTTGGATTCCTAGCAATGTTTTTGGTGAGACATGTGTAGTAGATTCCTAGCAATGCTTTTGATATACAAGGTAAATATTGTTAAGTTTTGGCATCATTGCTACACTTATCAAATGTTATTACATAATTTTCCTTGTAATTTAATTACATATATTGTAAAGTTTCTTACAACATGGCAAACACTTTTTAGATTCAAGTTTGTGTTTATATTTTTATGGCCAGCAACGTAAGGGTTCAAGTAATTTGTTAACCTTGGATTTACATATCATGTGTAATCTCTGCCCGGATGTCTCAATTAATTTCGTTTTTAAATTGCTAGTATCCTTTGTTTTAAGAATTGGGTTCTAACTTCTTTTTTTTTTTTTGCCAAAATTGGGTTCTAATTTAATGACAATATCCTCAGTAAATTTCTTTTTCATGGAAGATCTACCTTGAAATCTAATCTCAGTTTTAATATTATTGCCATAGTTTTGGTTTTAATCCCTTCCTTTTTGTACTTGTTATTAGAGGATGGCTTATGCAGGTACCCTTCGCACCAGAACAACCTGTATTGCTCGAAGATGCCAACCATCCTTTGCCTCTACTTTTGCTCAACACAGGTCTTTTGGAGCTGGGCTTTCCAATACCACTGTGTTAGGTGGCTTTTTCCGAGAGGGGAGGCGTTCCCACTTTCCTTCTCTTCTGAGCAATAGTTTCTCATCCTACCGGTACATGTCAACTAGCATTGGTGTTGGGTCAGATAAGATTTGGCTGATGTGTGATGCTGTAGAGGTACTTAAGGATACAACTGTCAAAGCAATGGCTTCTCTGATCTCTATGGTGAACAAGGTTGCCAGAGCTGCTGTTGATTCTTTCTTACCTGCAGTCTTGCACCATTTTATTAGCAGAGCACATTGGTTGGCAGATCTAACAACCACATGCAGTTCATATACATTGCCAATTTTGACAGTACTGACTTTCTTGATAAGAATTGAGGTATTTTTCTTTTAATATAAGGGGATAGATATTTGCATTGTGTGGAGTATTAGTAATGTCTTAATATTAGGTTCATGTAGTCTGTGTGGTTTTTTCCCTTTTCATTTTTTTTTTTCAATTTGGCTTTTAATTGACTTGCCTCTATCCTTTCTTAGCCTCAACTCAAACGAATCAGAGATGCTAGAGTTAATCGCCTGGTGAAAATTATGGTTACTGTGTTTGTCACACTTCAAGTTGCATTGGTCTGGAGATTCCCGAAGGTAACAATGTACAAATGGCCTGTTCAATTGATGTAAGGTTCATATTAGTCTCCTTACTGCTAGGCCTTTCACTATTTTCTATTTATGATCTCTTTATCTATCTCTGCAGGTTATACTTTACTATTGGATCACAGAAAATATGGTCGCCATCTTCAACCATCAAGACACTTAGAAGTTTAGAAACTGGAGTTCGAACAATGGTTAAGGCCCTGGACTTGATGCATATTTACTATTGCGTTTTTTATTTGATTCAATATTTCGGAAGGTCTTCTTTCCATTTTTTTTTTTTAAAAAAAAAAATTAATAGGGAATTATTTTTTTATTTTTTGTTTTTATAGATCTAATGATGGTTATATAAGGGGAAATAGCTCTCACTTTTTCCCAAATCCTTTCCCAGTAGGGGTGAGTATTTTCGGGTATAGATCAAGTATGAGTTATATTTGGTATTTAACTTAAAATTTTATAGGGATGACTTAGATTTGGTATTTACTAAAATATTTAAAGACATATATTTAATACTTAGGTCCCGTTTGGTATAGCGGTTTAAGAATAGCGGTTAGTGGTTTAAGGATAGCGGTTAGCGGTTAGCGGTTTTACCTAAACCGCTAAATATAAGTGTTTGGTAAATTTATATATTTTAAAACCACTGCAATTAAAGTGTTTGGTAAAATTTTTATTTAGTGGTTTGAGACTAGCGGATAGTGGTTAGAGTGCAAATCGCTAGTGGATTGAAAAAGCTAATTTATGTAGTTTTTTTGTACCAAACCGCTAGTGGATTAGAATTTTTTAATTTTATTGACAAATTTATCCATTTTAATTTTTTAATTTGTAGTCACATTTTTTAATTAATAATTATCTAATAAATTTCAGTTTTTTTTACCTTTAATAACATTAAGTGATTATAATATTTTTTTGTATATTAATTTATAATTAAAAAATATATTATCTTAAAAAA